ACACACTCTTGTGTGTTACAGCCTGCTCAGTGTTTTATAACTAAGGTGTCACTTTATTTTTAAGCTCATTTAATAAGACAAGTTGAACCAGAACAGACTCATTTGGAGCAGCATAGAAACACATACAGTACACACATGGATCACTGTGTAGAGCTATGGGCAGCTTCTGCACAACTTCTATAATTAATTAAAGTCCCACTCCAGAAACATTTTCATTTTTATATTTGTATATAAAAATACTTTACTATAAACAATATGCAGTCTAACACAGCTTTTCCTCAAAAAAATTTCAGTGGGCCTCTGTAATAGGAATGAACATTGCCCCTCATTGTGCATTCCAGGATCTATGAATGTTGCCGTCATCCCTTATGTGGATTTGAATAATTTTGCACGCCCAATTTTTCAGTTTTTTTATTTGTTAAAAAAGTTTGAAATATCCAATAAATTTCGTTCCACTTCATGATTGTGTCCCACTTGTTGTTGATTCTTCACAAAAAATTACAGTTTTATATCTTTATGTTTGAAGCCTGAAATGTGGCAAAAGGTCGCAAAGTTCAAGGGGGCCGAATACTTTCGCAAGGCACCGTATATTGGCAGTTTGGAGTGCATGGTGTTTTAAAAGTCTACTTTGTGGAAAATTAGTTGTTGCAATATGCAGAAAAAGGTTATTTTAAGTTATAATATACACCAATCAGCCACAACATTATGACCACTGACAGGAGGATTGACACTGATTATCTCATTACAGTTCCACCTGTCAGTGTGTGGGGTATATTAGGCAGCAAGTGAACATTCATTCTTCAAAGTTGATGTGTTGGAAGCAGGAAAAATGGGCAAGCATCTGAGTTACTTTGACAAGGGCCAAATTGTGATTGCTTACGACATAGTCAGAGTTTCTCCCACACTGTTTTATTTCAATGAACCAAGAAGAACAATTAATAAAATAACTGATTTCCCCAGGCAGTGAGGAGCAGAAAGACATCTCCTTGGCCCCTGCCAAACAGAATTTGGCTCTGCTGCTTTGTATGCTAACACATCCCTCCCACTCAAGCAGGCTAACACACCCTGCTCTGGCCTTGCTCAATGGCTAGGCCCTCTATATGCTTTTTACACCCATCCTCTAACAGCCAGATGTGGACATCAGAGATATGACTGTCTACAGAACCCCAACTCCCTTTCAAATCTGACTGCTGAATAAACATTCTGAACTTATGACTGACCTCTAAGACAGTAAGTCTGAGAAATTCAAACAAACCCAAGACAAATGGTCTTCATATCTTATTCATGAGGAGAACTTGGACACAAAAGCTATCTACTTCCTTTATCTTCAATAGGACACTTGGGAATGCAGATAAACTCTCCCCTTTTAGCACAGCAATAAAAATGTGAGTATTATGTTTTCTCTTATGACAATGTAAAGATTTGAGAATATGAAATTAAGTTAGTCAAGAGTTGTGTGGAATGTTTAAAATGTAAAAGAATTTAAAAATGTTTTGGTAAAATTGAGACAAATCTGATTTATACATGTTAACTAGTCACTGCAGGATCAGAAAGACATCTCCTTGGCCCCTGCCAAACAGAATTTGGCTCTGCTGCTTTGTATGCTAACACATCCCTCCCACTCAAGCAGGCTAACACACCCTGCTCTGGCCTTGCTCAATGGCTAGGCCCTCTATATGCTTTTTACACCCATCCTCTAACAGCCAGATGTGGACATCAGAGATATGACTGTCTACAGAACCCCAACTCCCTTTCAAATCTGACTGCTGAATAAACATTCTGAACTTATGACTGACCTCTAAGACAGTAAGTCTGAGAAATTCAAACAAACCCAAGACAAATGGTCTTCATATCTTATTCATGAGGAGAACTTGGACACAAAAGCTATCTACTTCCTTTATCTTCAATAGGACACTTGGGAATGCAGATAAACTCTCCCCTTTTAGCACAGCAATAAAAATGTGAGTATTATGTTTTCTCTTATGACAATGTAAAGATTTGAGAATATGAAATTAAGTTAGTCAAGAGTTGTGTGGAATGTTTAAAATGTAAAAGAATTTAAAAATGTTTTGGTAAAATTGAGACAAATCTGATTTATACATGTTAACTAGTCACTGCAGGATGGGGCGCTAGTGAGATGCCTAGTGAATAGCCCCGAGGAGCTCTGAAAAATACATTTCAGAGCTCCTCGGGGCACAAAAATTCTATTTAAAAAGAAACGTTTTCTACCACATTACTACCTCCGCTTGTGCCCTGCAACTAGTTGCTCGCACTTTTTCTGCATTTTTGCATCAGTTATCCGAAAAATGGCAAGTCAACGCGATGGAAAGGGTCCTCGCCAGTTAGCCGAAGCTACTAAAGCTAAAGCTAGCCAGGAGAAAAAAAGCACCGGTCATGAGCCCCGATGAAGACGAAGATGAGATACCACTCATGTGGCAAAAAATCTCGACAAATATCCTCCAGTCCATAAATGAGCGGTTTGATAAATTCAAACAGAGTTTCCAGAGTGTCATAGCGGGCAAGCAAGTACTCACAGAGAGTCTGCGACATGGAAAAACAAGCTGAAGACCATGAACAGCGTATCGGCGATATAGAGACTTCACTCGCACAGTTGCAGCAAGAGAACAAGGCCCTCTGCTCCAAGCTTTTAGACCTGGAAGGAAGATCTAGATGTAATAATATCAAAATAATTGGTATTCCTGAAGGCGAGGAGAAGGGGAGGCCAACGGAATTCGTCTCCCATCTGATTCCTAAACTGCTTGGTGCGGAAAACTTCGATAAGCCGGTGGTAATTGACAGAGCGCACCACACACTGCAGCCCAAACCAGCTGACCGCGTACCATCATTGCACGGGTGCATCTGGCGCAGGAAAAAGAAAAGATCATATGACTCGGGAGACAGCGCGCCCTGGACTACGAAGGACAGCGGATCCTTATTTTCCCAGATTATACTGCAGAGGTTATAGAGCAGCGTCGAGGCTTCAGGGAAACTGAGATCCTGAGGACATGTAAGAAACAATATTATTCTAAAGTATTAGAGGATAATAAAAATAACACGAGAGGTATTTGGAATATATTAAATAAATTGATTAGAAATAGTCCCAGCAAGAGTAACTACCCCCAATACTTTATGGATAATGATACACCGGTCACAACAGCCCTGGGAGGACTCTCAGGCCATGTGCCAACGAACTGGCTGATGTTCTCACCACCATCTTCAATCTCTCCCTCAGCCAGAGCATCGTTCTTACCTGCTTCAAGACCATAACCATCGTCCCGCTTCCCAAGAAGAGCCCGGTCACCTGCCTGAATGACTACAAGCCAA